CCCTTTCCCTTCTCTGAAATCAATAAAGATATATATTTTTAAAAATTCTTTTTAAAGTCATGTCAAAAGGACATGGATGGAAGCCAGATTAAAGGGGCTTCCTATGGTCAAAACTGGAACAATTTGAGCATTAAAATAAGTAAAGAAAGAAATGTATTATAACTTTTTGAATAAAACATATCGATAATCAATGGAGGGATGAATGAATAAGGAGAAGGGAGGGCTCTTTTTTACAGCCAAATGCCAAACAATAAAAGTGGAGGGATTAGTGGAGTTAGCAATTGCCACTTAGGAACCATTATGATAAAAGTTGGCTTGGGCCAGAATCATGAGTGGATACTAAATCTAGGTGGGGATAGTATGAAGAGGAGCAGGATATTTGCATAATCTCGAAATGTCTCCTCACAGATTGTTTATTAGTTGCAAAGGGCGAAATAGTAACTATATTGAGGAGAAACCAGACATCTTGACCAATGTTGACCTTCATCAAAATTACATCACCAATAAGGAGCAGATGGACACCGTGGACCTTCGATGTGCTTCTCTGAAAAGGGCAAACAGCCCTAACCGGTTTGGCTCAGTGGATAGAGCGTCGGCCTGCGGACTGAAAGATCCCAGGTTCGATTCCAGTCAAGGGCATGTACCTTGGTTGCAGGCACATCCCCAGTAGGGGGTGTGCAGAAGGCAGCTGGTCGATGTTTCTCTCTCATCGATGTTTCTAACTCTCTATCCCTCTCCCTTCCTCTCTGTAAAAAATCAATAAAATATATTTTTAAAAAATAGAACTTACTGGGGACAATGGTCATTTGCTAGGGCTGCTGTAACAAAGTGCCACAAATTGTGTGGCTTAAACAACAGAAACATATTGTTTCCCAGTTCAGAGGCCAGAAATCTGAAATGAAGGTGTCACCAGGGGAGGTTCCCTTTGAGGCTAATAAATAAATAAATAAATAAAAAGGGCAAACATGATTCATGTCAGATTACAGCTCAGAATGCATCCCTTGAGTCTAGTCATGAGAAAACATCAGGAAAAAGCAAATTGATGAACATTCTATGAAATAACTGACCTGTATTTTTTTTAAATGTCAATACCACTAATGACAAAGAATAGCTGAGAAATTATTTTAATTAAAAGAAGACAACAAGACATGGCAACAAAATGCAATACATGATCCTGAGCTGGGATCTGGAACTGAAGGGGGAAATGCCACAAAGGGCATTATTGAGAAAACTGACCAATTTTAGGGTATGGACTTTAAAGTGTAGTGTCTAGCCCTGGCTGGTTTGGCTCGGTGGATGGAGCATCAGCCTGCGGACTCAGAGGTCCCGGGTTCGATTCTGGTCCAGGGCATGTACCTTGGTTGCAGGCACATACCCAGTAGGGAGTGTGCTGGAGGTGACTGATGAATGTTTTTCTCTCACCGATATTTCTAACTCTCTATCCTACTCCCTCCCTCTCCGTAAAAAATCAAAATATATATATTTTTTAAAAGTGTAGTGTCTGTGTTAAATTTCCTGAATTTGGCCATTGTGCTGTTGTTATTTAAGATAATATTCTGGTTCTTAGGTAATACACACTAGAACATTAAGAAATAAAGGGGCATAATGTATGCAATCGACTCAAATGGTTCAGAAAAAAATAAATTATAGCACAAATATCATGATAAATTTTGTCAAAATGTGAAAAACCTATCAATTTACATAAAGAGTATGGAAGTTCTCTGCAACTATTCTTGCAATTTTTTATAAGTTTCTAAATAAAAAGATTTTTTAAAGGTACATAAACAGAAGAGAAATAGCCAAATGAGGACCTAGGGTACACAAGAACAAGTATCCAGTCAAATTCGGACTTTACTGTTGCTTGCTCCCTTTCATCCACTTTCTGAGAGCTGCCCCACACAGGTGCCCCACCCAGCTTTTAACTTCCTACCTGCTGGCCTACTTCCCTATGAAGGCACCGTCTTTCTTGTCCGACAGGCGGGGAGGCTAGGCTCTTGAACACTTTGACCGCTTTAAAAAAAAAAACAAAACAACAACACACACAACAACACTCCAACATTGCAACCAGCCCAGGTGCTCCCAATGGCCTTGTTTCCTGTGTGATGGAGATACAGTTTCCCCCGGCCAAGGGCAAGATGGGTGGGTAAAGACGCTTCATCCTTCCCGTAAGCAATAAATCCACAGCATATGATTAGTAAAACGTCCCTAACACTCACACCAATGAATTAGATACACCTGTCAAAGAAGCAGGCTAGATCATGGGTAAGAGCCAGAGGAAGATAGTCTGAGCTTGGCTTTGACCCCACCACTTTAAAGCTGTGTGACTGAGAGCAAGTCAACAGTACCTGGAATTCATTAAGCATTCACTCAACTTTACCCACCAGTTAGTACTAGACTCCATTTTAGGAGGCAGTGATACAAAATCTTCTCTCAGAGCTTACATTTTAGTTGGGTGAGACAGAAAATAACTGAAATATAGAGAATGCCAGATGCTCATCCATGCCATGGAGAAAAAACAGACAGGTAAGGGAATTAGTAAGTGCAAAAATAGAGGGTGAAAATGTAATTTTAAGTAGAATATTCAAGGGAGGTTTCATTAAGGATGTGATGTCAGAACAAAAACCTAAAGACAATGAGGGAGCAAGCCATGTAGATGAGTGAACGCCAAGGCAAAGGGGGATGGACGACAGGTGCAAGGCCCTCGAGCAGGGATGTGCCTCGGTTGAGGGATGACTGCTTAAGTCTCAAGCTCTTTGGAGGCAGAGGAAAGAACTACACAGAGCAGGAGCTCAGTAAATATCCACGGGAGACAGGAAGCAAAGAGGGACTGTAATATCACAGTCATAGATTCTGAGGTTGAGTTTTGGGAAGAGAAAAAGAAGCATCAGTTTTATAAAGCTGGAGAAAAATAGGTGACTAGCTGATTTTATGTCCTGTCTTTCCGGTCTTCCTTCTCTTAAAAATATTTCTCAAATGCTAAGTGAAATAAGCCAGTCAGAAAAAGATAAATACCACATGATCTCACTCATTTGTGGATTATAGAGAACAACTTAGACTGATGAAAAGGGACAGATCCAAAGACTGAGAAACAGCGATCAGGCTATCAATCCCCAGAAGGAAAGTAGGGGAGGGAGGGGGTAGGGGAAGAGATCAACCGAAGGACTTGTATACACGCATATAAGCCAAACCAATGGACATGGACAACAGGGGGATGAGAGCATGAGTGTGCG